CTCCTCTTCCAATAAACACCACAGGTTGGCCTATTCTTCCAAGGCTACTTATTGGGTCCCAGAGCACCCAGCACAGCGCAATGAATTATTGGAGAGATCTGCATGGCATGACTTTGTAGCACACTTGCAGGGCTGCATGAGAGAGATCTATTTATTCATTCTGGAAGAAGCATATGAAACCTGTTCATTCAGAGGACAGTCACTTATTTTCAAAAGTTTTTTGTTTTTTGTTTTGTTTTGTTTTTAATGGAGCCCCTAGGGCCATCTTTTACCAATATCTACTTCCATTGCACTGCCAGGAAATTGATTTTAATTGCTAATTTTAATTAGCATTAACTAAATTTAATTTTCTTTCATTCATTCACCCAGCAAACATTTATAGAGCACCTCTACTTCATCACTTTGTCCTACATCCAATGCTTTGAACATAGTTAAGAGCTTTATAAACTAAAGACATAAAAATATACTAATCTCTAAATCTATTTAAGCTTAGAATACTTTATAGAAAAGTCCCAAAACAATTAAATCAAGAAAACTTTTCTCAGAAGAAATAAAACAAAGCAGGATGTTATATTTCCATGGATTTTTTAAAAAGATGCCAACTAAGTCCTGGTTTCCTTATCATATCAACATAGAGAACAAATCAAATGTGTAGAGAAGGATAAATAGGTAAAAATAAATTTATCCTTTAAGCTCAGTTCATCAATCCTAGTAGGTATTTTTATATTTACCGTCAGTTTTCTTGAGCCTTAGTTTTCCTCATCTACAAAAAGAGAGTTCACTCCTAAATTTATTAACAAACATGTACCGAACGCCTACTATGTGCTAGGTACTGGCTTATGCTTTGGGAACACAGTGGTAAACAAAACAGACAAATTACTGTCTGTATGGTGTTAATAGTCTCATGAAGATAATAATACTAATATGGGAATGCTTGGAAGATTGGCTATTAATATAATTAAGCGTTCTGTGAGTTGCAAAGGGCTTTGTAAACCCAAGGCTCCTGATGTGAGAACCACTTTTTTCTTCATTCTATCTCCACCATTCAGTAGGTTTTACTAAATGGTGATCTGAGTAGATACAAGTGCATCAGTACTATCACATTTGACCACTAGAGGTCCTCCACAGTCATACCCAACATTAATCTATGTATTATATTCATTCATTCCAGTATAATTTATCGAAAGCAACTTAAGAAAGTTGGTTATATTAAATAAAATGTATTATATGAAACTCTAAGGGACCTCCACAAGAGATTAATTATATTAACCTAGATATCACTTCCCATGAAATAAGATTTGTGCTATCCCTGGCTGAACACCCAAAATAAAGAAAATATTCTGAATTAATGTCTTATCACAGCAGTCCTGCAAAAACAAACCACTTCACCACCATACATACTTCTTTTAAGATAAATCATTGTAGGGACGCCTGGATGGCTCAGTCAGTTAAGCATCCGCCTTTGGCTCAGGTCATGATCCCAGGGTCCTGGGATGAAATCCTGCATCTGGCTCCTTCCTTGCCCAGCAAGGAGCCTGCTTCTTCCTCTGCCTGCTGCTCCCTCTGTTTGTGCTCTCTCTCTCTCTCCCTTTCTGACAAATAAATAAAATCTTAAAAAAAAAAAGACAAGTTAATGTCCACATCATTTTTAATGGCTATTTTGTATTCTATTTTATGGTTATACCAATATTACTATGTGCTATAGTTAACAAACTTACTGCTAAATCTTTCTTTCTTTAAAATTTCTTCAAGGTCAAGTCTTGTGTTTTTCTATTAAAAAAAATCAATATATTTATAGGAAAGCAGCTTAAATTTAATAAAAAATTTCTTTATATTTTCATATTTACTGGCAATTGTTTTTTAATGTTTTCATAATATTCCCCCAAATTTCATAAACTCATGAATTTAAGTTTAAAATTTCACACACACAAATAGCTAGAAAAATATAAGAATTTTGCCCAAATGGTGCTTTCCTGTTTTCTTTTTTGAAATATCACAGGAAATACTTAATGAACACATATTGAACTGCTTTTTATAATTGCTCTGATCGTGAATATACAAAAACATGAGTATTTCAAGACTCTTTTCACTTGTGTCTGAGTGTGAAATCAAGACAAAGGCACTGAAAATTCCTACTGTCAGGAGCCTTCCATGAACATAAGACTGGTGTAATCTATTGAACTGTACTCTAATAATTATTTCTATTATCTTGGTAATTATTAAGTATGAGCCTTATTGAGACAAACTTCTAACAGATACAGCAACTTAGGGAACTGCTATTTAACGGCAGAATCTTACATTCTCCTGGAAGCAGTGAAGTGAATTCCACAAGTATGAAAAGGGCAGTTTCCTGGTAGCAAAATCAAAACTATTCTCAAATTATGAGTGCTTGATATACACAATTTCTCACATGAACCGAGTGATCAGAATGTATTTCCAACACACAAAAAAGCACACTGAGAACTTGGTGCATATGTTTAAGTTTTAATACTTGAGAAAATAGAAGTTAAAATCTGATACAAACACTGCTGCACAAGAAAAGAATATATACACATTTGGATATCAATAGAGTCAGTATGTGAACCTGGATGTACAAATGTAACAAAACAACCTGTTATTGAAGGCTTTTAAGGAAGTAAGAGATTTTTAAATCAGGTAGAGATTAAAAGATCGCAGAAGGAACAGTAACTGTTTCTCAAAAAATTTCCCTTGTCCACTAAGAATTGTAAACTCTGTGTGACATGGAAAGTTAGAGGTCACATAATGCATCAAGATATTTTGAAGACGTAAGACATAAATGCCCACTGTAAACCCAAACAATCTAAAAATAACCAGCATTTCATTTTCCTCCAAAGATCAAATTGATATACCAGTCATGTTCACAAATTTTGGCAAAGAAAAATAAAAACTCGTTCCATTCTTTTTTGAAAATACACGTTATTTCTTCCACCAGCTGCTTTAGTAATTTAAGCTTAATTCATTTTGTTAAATATGAAACATGAAAAATCTTTTGAAATCTTGCACTCTTAGAAGAAATGAAAACTTCTTTCCAACTTCAACAATGTATTTTAAAAATTGTGAAAATGATCAGAAACAATACCAGCTCTTTAAGAGCACTTCAAAATATATTTGAAGAAAGTATTTTTCAGCTGTTGTTTATTTTTAAAAATCTTTATCTTGAAAGGGTAAGCTTCAAAGGTATCTTGAAAGAGATCATGCAACATCAATATAATTGGAGAAATTCTCTACTGATGAAAAATAGGGTCATTTATAAATTAACTTCCAATTTCCTAAAAAAAATTCCTGGAATTTGTGCCAGATGCCTGTGGGATACTTTTATTCCTGATAACTCTCAATACAAAAGTTACTGTTTAATACTGTAAAATCTACTTTATTTCATAGGTTGGTTGGAATAGCATTATTTTTTAAGTTCTAGAAGTTACCAATACCGAAATATTGCTTGAGCTTATGAGGGAATGAACTTCTTGAACGTTAAATTCCTCCTCTTTGAAAGATGCATTAAACATTTCTGATCACTAAAAGCGTAAAGCTTCTAGCACTTCTTGAACACTGATTTCACTTTCCAAAAATGTAAATATTCTCTCAATGCCCAGAGCAACAGAACTAAACCAAGTATTTGGTGACTGTCTCTTTTAAGAGAAGTATTAATTATTCCAAAAACTAGCTTGCATATATCTCTGATTTTAACTGTATCAGACAAAAGATCACTTCGTTTTATACAAAGTTTTCTTGCTTTATAATCTATGGAATGTTAGTAGTGAGCTTAAGATGATTATCTTATAATTGCACATTTGTGTAAACCATTATTTTTCTTTAGAAAACACATTTTTAGCTTAATAGGGAAACATAAACCTCAATATTGAATATAATAACCTATGATAACTGATAATACTATAAAGTTATTAAACACACCCCTAAAACTTCTGAAAGTACATTAATAATTTTTTTAAATAGCCATAATCCCTTAAAAAAACAAATTATTTACAAATATCTTAGAGCAGTGGAACCTATGCAGTCATTACATGATGTGGATATGTTCCTTGGAGAATCTACCTACAGAACAGAAAATGCTGCATTTATACTGTCCACTTGCCACTGAAAAAGTGAAAGCAGCATGATTTTATTACAGAAAATTAAAATAATTGGAAGGGTCTAATTAAAACTGGCATTGTGCTCTCTAAAGAAAAATAACAATCACATGATAGAATTTTTATATAGCACCACCATAAGATGCTTTAGTAACACCTTAATTTTAGGATTGTTAACACATAATTCTGATATTGAAACATTATTTTAATGTAAAAATTCATATCTGCACTCAGAGGAAACTATAGTAAAAATATTTTTAATACGGTAAAAGTTACTAACTCAGTTTCCCCTTTCACATTGCACAGCATCCATCTAAAATATAAGGTGTAGATTCTTATAAATAACATATAAAAAGTCTTGGGTTTGTTTTCTGTTTTTTTTTTTTTTTTACCAAATTTCAGTTTATATTTCAATATCTTATGGGTTTTTTTTTACCAAAAATATTACAAATTTTTTTACCAAAAATATAATAAAATGTTAACAACTTTAATATAAGCCAGTCAAAAATCAGTTCCTTCTGATTTGGAAAGCTTAAAATGTTAAGTAATAGAATTCTACCAACCCTAGAGTAACATCAAGCTAATCAGCAGCAGCCATTGGTACTTAGTATTGTTCAAGCAGTTAATCCTGATCAAAAATTAAATTAGGTGCCTTTCGTAAGACAAGTGCCAAACCGTTGCTATTTTATTAAAATGCGGTAACTCATATTAAGATCAAGAGCACCACTGTTGCTATTAGGCGGTATATAACCTCCATATTTAATACATATTCAAAAATTCAACAACTATGGTTATAACTCTAGTAGTGTTATTTAGCTCTACATTTCCCTTAGAGGGCAGACATTAACAAAGATGCTATGTATTAAAAATCATATAAAAAAATCATATCAATATCTACTATTAATAAGAACATTTTGGTGATTTTACAACTGTCTGCCTCAAAAGGGTACCTCTGGTGAATTCAGAAATGTGAATTCTGATGCACACTCTACCCATCCCCAACCTCCAACCCTCACCTTCCTGTGCCTAATATCTGAACCTATTTGGACAAACACCCACAGGAGAAACTTTTAAGATGTGATGCTAACATATTTCACTCTCTTCTTTTCCTGTTTTCTTAAAGGATGCATTTGTATTTATTTTCTAGGTTTCTTACTTCCAGTCATAACAAAATAATGGTCATCATCCTCCTTTTTCTTTGTGGTAGGTTTTTTATCTCCACTAACTGCTTCCTTACCAGATGAGGGTGGTTTCCTCGTTGCAGCTGGGGCTTTGCCACTTTTTGGAGGCCCTTTTGCTGAATACTGGCTCTTAGTGGCCATCTGTGCTGACTTTGATACAGGTTGTGTCTTGACGGAGGACTGGGGAAGACTCATGAGAGACAGTGGGGTACGGCCAGGGGACTTCAAGGAGCTGGGTCCTGTCTTCTGGGATGGACTTTTATTCTGGGGCTGCTTTTTGGCAACTGAAACCATATTCTTATCTTTTGATTCCTGTGCAGTTTTTGTAGGTACAACGGAGGATGCGGACAGTGGCTGGTTTAAATTTAAGGCTGACTTAAGCTTGTGTGCTGGCATTGCCCCAGCTTGTGGGGCTCTATCAGAGGGCTGAGACCGTGTTCCTAGACTTGTGGGTATAGTTTTGGAACTGGATTTTGTTATTTTTGCAGGGGAATGGAGAGAGGGGGAAGGTTTAGGCCTTACATGTATATTTGCCTTAGGTGGCTTTGAACGCTTTGACACTGAATCTGAATGTGCCATTGAAGGAGACTCTGCATTATCCCTGGAAGATATCGGAGTGTGTTTCAAATGCTTTGGTTCAGTTTTTCCAGAAGACTTATTTGGCACAAGTGCAGACTCAGGCACATCTCTGGGCTTCTGGGCCATAACAAGATTGGCCTGAGGAGTATCATGTGATGAGATAAGTTTTCTCAACGACTGAGAGTCACAAGGTGTGGTTCTGGATGAAGCCGGTGAAGAATTGCTTTTACCTACTGCTTTGTTTGAAGGAGCCTGTGGTTTCTTTGTGATGCCTTTTGAAGATTTGAGCTTAAGATGAGAAGATGATGCTGGAGAATCTGGCAATTTGGAACGGACTGACACAGAGCCCAGATTCCCTCCTTTCAGGGAAGATGCTGGCAGCAACCCATCCAGTGGACGTACCTGCTTTTCTTTGCTTCTTGGAATACCAACTGGCGTGCCAGGTTTTGATTTTTGTTTCTGAAACATGTTAACAGCTGACAAAGGATTCATTTCAGGAGGCTGAGGTGTTCTGGCAGATGAATCAGGTACATTTTCATTGGAAACTCCTTTTTGAAAGGCTAGAATTTTTTGTTCTAGTGTAGCAAATTGTAATATTCGACAGGGATCATATTTAAGCAAAAATCCTTGAAGAGTATCCCAGCCTCCACCAACACGGACCATGACATGTTTTCCATGAAGCATCTTTTCCCCCAAAAGAAAGTAAAAAAACAAACAAATAAACAAAAAGCCCATAAGGTTCACAGTTCCAATTCATTAGCAGTCACAATCTGTGATGTTTATGATCTATGAAATTCAGAGTATTTGCCAGCAGCTTCAATATAAATTGATAGTCTATTTCTTACATTATTAAAATTATCAATTTAATTCATACTGAATTGTGCAATTAAATATAGGTCCTCTAATTTGTAAGAAAAATTTTTGCACACAACTTGCATCCTAAAAATCCAAATTGCAAATATACAAAATTGCAAGGGCAATATTGTTCAATAAAGAGGAAGAAAAGAGAGAGGAAAGGCAGAAGGAGAGGAAGAGAAGGAGAAATGAGGACTTACAGAAAATATGCCTCATAATAAAGAAAAAAATTATGGAAGAAAGATAAAAACAACTAAAACTTGTACTTTGCAATTTAATAAATTACTTTCATATATATAATTTAGCAAGTTAACCTTTCAAAAAACTTCATATCCTTTACAATTTCGTCATTCTTTGCAGGCAAGAAAATTATGGCTCTGCGAAGTTGAAGAAATTGTTTCAAATCACACAGCTTAGGCCTGGCCTCAAACATACCAGGCTGCACAACTCCAATAGCGCTTTTGTGCCGCCAAGATGCATCCTGGGTAGGCCAGCATAGTCCCAGCTGATTTTCAGGCCCCTAACTCTTCGGCAGGCAATTCTTCACCATTGTAGGAGATTGCCCTGCAAACATTAACTCCAAATCCCATGCCCCCATCATTCTATCAGACTGCCTTAAAAAAACAAAGCCAATTAAAAAACAGAAAGTCTTGGAAATGTTTCTAAAAGTGAGTTGGGCAGGGTGTGAGGAGGTAATGATAACATGAAATTTTAAAATATGGATGGTGAAATATTTTTAAGTATTTTTATATTATATTCCTAGATTGGAAATAAAAGAGCTCTTCTATCAGAAGTGGACAGAATGCCAAACAGGTGAAACTTCAATCTCTTTACCAATAAAGAGGACGGTTAATCAACTGCACATCACAGGTGGGACAAAGGAAGGAAATGAATATGCACATCAGGATATTGGTAAATACACTGATGCTGTGTCAATGAGAAAAGGTTTTATACTTAAGACCCAATCTATACATTATTATAAACTGCAACATTTTGACTTCCTTTTCTTATTACTGACATTTAATCTTATTACATGTACTGTTTTAGTTTTTTCTTCTTATGATGGGAAATCATGCCTTTTTAGAAAATTTGAAAAATGGAATAAAATAGCTGGGGTATATAAAGATTTTTTTCCCCACAATTATTTTAAATGTCTGAATAGTCTTAGCTATCCTTAGTAGTGTATTGTGTTAAAGGTGTCTACCAAAACTCATATGTACTCGTGAAAGCAAGTATTCCATATTTTTCCTGTACAGTAAAATTCTCCCATTAATAACACTCCCTATTCCATTTTTTTAAAAAGTAAAAGGGAAGCAAAAGGAATTCGGTTAAACAATAAATCCAATTTCAAAATAAGACCTCTATGTAAATAGGATATAAATGGTGGACTCACTCTTATAAAGAGTATTTTATCCCCAAGTCGGTACCGTCCTTCAGATAAGTACTCAATAGAGAATCGATGGGAACAACTACAGGGGGGGTCTTCAGCAATATGTTTAACCTAAGATTCAAAACAAACAAAATTTAGTGCTTATGACAAAAAATATTTAACATTAAATAAGCAAGGTTTATTTGATAGATGCGAAATCAAAAGATAAAAATTTAAAGACAGTTGAACCATTTATTATTACCTCTCCTTTACTTGTTGACAAATACTGAGATTAGGATTTTTTAAAAAAATAATCTCTACACCCAACATGGGGCTTGAACTCATGACCCTAAGGATCAAGAGTCACGTACTCCACAGACTGAGCCAGCCAGGCTCCTCCACAGACACTGAGGTTAAACATTAATCTAATAAAAGCTGACAGTGACAGCCTTTTTCCTCTCAGCTTTCAAAGTAGGCTCCACACCCAAAGTAGGGCTCAAACTCAGGACCCTGAGATCAAGAGTCACATGCTCTACTGACTGAGCCAGCCAGGAACCCTAGGGATGAAGTCTGAGGCTCCCTTTCTCCCTCCCTACCCCACCTCTCTCCCTCTCTCTGCCCAAGTCTAATCAGGGTCCTAGTGGATTCACTGAGCACTGGAGGTCTGTGAATGTGAACAACAGGGAGGTCAATTCAAAGCACATTCATTAAGTCCTAGGAAACACATGAGTTTATTATTGAACTTGAATTGTTTTATGCCCTGGATTAATATATCTGTGTCAGGTCAAAGACAGGCCAGTCAGATAAACTTTAAGTAGGAATTCTCACTTGTCCCTTAACACTATGCTAAACATTTGGAGGGGGGTATCTAGATTGTTCCAAAGTTACTGTTAAAATTACCAGAGGCAAATTTATATCTATTCACCCAAGACTGGATGAAATTCTAAAGAATTCAATTCAAGAGGCATTTTTCTAAAAGTGCTCACTTTGTTTCAATAGTCTGCTAAGTAGATGAGAATTGGGGACAAGTCCCTACTTCTATCCCTCAAGGAGCTTACAGAATTTTTAACTGCAGTAAACATCTAAAAAATTATAAAAATGAATATAAAAAGAAGTTTAGGAGTTCTATACTTAAAATATGGAAATTATTATAAACTGATTAAAAAATAAAAACATCTGGGGTGCCTGGGTGGCTCAGTGGGTTAAGCTTCTTGCCTTCAGCTCAGGTCATGATCCCAGGGTCCTGGGATCGAGCCTCACTTCGGGCTCTCTGCTCAGCGGGGAGCCTGCTTCCTCCTCTTTCTGCCTGCCTCTGTGCCTACTTGTGATCTCTGTCTGTCAAATAAATAAATAAATAAAAATCTTTGAAAAAAATAAAAATAAAAACATCTGTTGAGATGTTTGAAAAAAAAGTTGCTATCAGTCACCATGGAAAATATTTTGTTTTCCTAAAAATTACATTTTTGGAAAAAGCAAGGCTATGAATATTTTTCTCAATTATCACACAGACTATATCTACACAAACTCATTAATTGAAGTTGCATATGATATTAAACCAAAGTCTCTTCAGATATGCCTAATTTAGCTAAGCACTAATAGAAATCCATGACTGTCTTCATTATCTACCCAAAATGAACAGCCACAGGTGGATTCACCAGGATATGATCAGAAGGTTCCAGAATTTATCTCCCCACATCATTCATTTAACAAAATAATATGATCATAAATGGAACTATTATAAGGCATTCAATTATGTTTCTCTTGTTCATAGCCTAGTATATATGCATGTGTACATACACATTCATGTTCTCACACAGCACAGACATAAATAAAATGCCTAAATGTAAACTGAAGGTGGGTATAGAGTTTACAATTATTAGAACTATTTACACATGTTAACCAAAGTAATCTGAAAGGAGGTATTTTTTTCAGTCACTACTTTCTATCAATAAAAGTTTCATAAGCATCAGAAATATAGCTGAATACAGCACTCTAAATAATGAATCAGATGATAATTATTACTTACATTAAACACAATTGCAAAATCTCTGTAGATTATGGATGTAGAGGTGGACACTGAATGTATTCAAATACCATACGCATATTAAAGAAATGTGTTCCTTTTTAGTGTTCACAACAAGAATGTAGACATGAAAAGTCACTTGCTTTATTTGTTTAAAATATCCAAATACCACTTACATTCAGCAGTAAAAATTAGCATTAACCCACAATCTAAAGAAAGGAGTAGGCCTAAAAGAAATAAGAGCTATGGATAAAAAAATGTTCTCTTCTGGTTTTATCCACTGTATAATTAACATTAAAACACTAAAGGAAATAGATAAATTAAAATAATCTATAAGGGCACTAATCTATTATCGATTATTTTCCTTCTTTTTCTTACAATTTGTCTATATATACATACTTTTCACAAAATATTTTTCTTGTTGCTACATAGTGATCACATATAATGATTATTCTGTTAAGATAATGAATCCTAATTCACCTAGCCATTGCTCTGAGAGTATTCCCACTGCTTCTAATTTTCACCATTATATATAGCACAATAAAAACTTTCATTTATTCTACTTTTTAATTCCCCTTCAATTACAAAAAAATTAAGGAGGAACATTTTTGTGGTACTTGATAACCATTTGTCAGCTGTTTTTCAAAGTTTACATCATTTTCCACCACCAGTAGCAATCCCTAAGTATAGTTTTACAAAATTCACCAGCACCAGGTTTTATAATTTTAAGAAATTTTACTAATGAGGCAAGTTGTGTATCTTAATTCCTTGATTCTCAGCAAGACTCAACACTATATTTTCCTCTTGTGTGAACAACAGTCCTTGCCCATTTACCTTCTGGAAATGCTTTTCTTATCAAACTGTACAGTAGTCTTTCCAATTCAGTAAAAATATATTTTGCCAATGTTTTCTTTTCTATTTAATTATCATTATTTTAGTTTATATAAGATTTAAAGTAAGTTTTATTTTTTAACCTATTGCATTATCACTGTGTCACATACGGACATTGACAGTCATCATATAAATCAGTAATATAATATAAGTAAGTATATTTTGGCCTGGTAAAGAATATTCAGGCTGACATTTTCTTAAACTGTCTTGCAAGGATATCCAAATCTTTTACTATAGACTTTTATTACGTTAAACAAAACAATCAAAGCAACACTTTCCAAATGTTTATCAGTAATGACTTACTCATTATTTCTTAAATAATTTTGTACATTAAGCACTTTCATAAAATACAACAGTCTGAAAAAGACCATAATTCTAAACAACAGTGGAAGAAAAAAAAAAAAATGTTTGCTACTCAGTTCACCTCCATCACTTACTAGACTAGAGTCACTACAGAAGATACAGCCAAGGACAACTGCAGCTCTAGTGACCTCTGCATAACAATGACCAGGTAAACCTCAAAGACTTCCCAGCTGAGACCCGTCATTTCTAAAAGTCTGCATACATTGTCAGGGGAATATTCCCAAAACCCCATCAATTTGCTCTCAGAACTTTTCCTCCTCCTATATTCTCCAAGTATCAGTGTACTATTTACTTAGAAACCTCAAAAATCATCCTAGATTTTCTCCCTCCCTATCAGAATTAGGATTCTCCAATTCTACCTCTTAAATATGTCCTGTTACTGTTCCTTTTACTTCACCTTCACTACTGCTGCTCAAGTTCAGGCTCTCATCATTGTATGCCTGGATTATTACAACAAAACCAATATAACCTCTACATGACCATGAGAGTAATCTTTATAATGTGTAAATCAGATTATACCACTACCATGATTTAAAAAACAATCAATGAATTCTTGTGGCCTCCAGTTCCCGTCATGATGGATTCCAGCCTATTTGCCTCCCCATTCCTCAACTACATACACATCCATTCCTCATCATACACGAACAACACATCACCTTTAACATATAGTGCCCTAAACTCACCAGGGAGTAGTAGTTAATACTGGTGTATGTTCTGAATAAGAAACATTCTCTTTTAAACACAGCATCACCTGCAGCAAACTATGAGACTGTGACACATCACAACTGAGAAATACAGCAATTACTTACAGCCTCATGTAGCTCTTCATGCGGACAGCACGATTTCGGAATGCTAATGGAATCTTCGGGCCCAGAAGTATTAAGTAAGGTCTCTTCTAGTTCGATTTCTTTCTCAAGTTTTACTAATACTGGTGGCTCAACCCCATATCTGAAAACCAGTTAGGAGATATCATTCAAGGAAAGTCCGACTCATTCACTTCCCTGCATATCACAACAGGTTATGTCTTATTTTTAAAGTGAAGTCTATTTGATTCTCTTCTACCAATTGTTTCACTGGAACATTTGGAAATGCTTTTTAATATCCCACAGACCATCAAAAATTCAACATATAATCTTCACATTATAGCATATATTGGGATTACTGGATGCTCCAGTATTCAACTAGGGATCCTAAAAGTCAGCCACCTTTAAAGTTAGCTTGAAAGTAAAGATGGGGCTGAGTCAGGTATGGAGGACACTAAGCCTGAGCCTTCTTATCAGATCCTCTTTGTGTCCAGAAGATTTGCCTTGCCTTTAACTGCTAAGAGAGTTTTACATGCGCTTACCTTATTCTTAGTTTAAAAAATTTAAGCAACAACTTTTATAGTTTAATACTAAATGACAACAAGTTATATGGGTGAGCAGATGTTGACACATGACACAGCTCATGCAAACAGAACAAAGTTGAAAGAAAGAAAGAAAGAAAGAAAAGGAAATTAAGTTGTTTTATTTCAATCAAGAATTATTTTCTTTTATTTATAAAAAATAGTGCTCTATCTAAAATAAAGTAGCTTTTAGAAAATTAATGGCATTGAAATTCTGAAATAATGTGGAATACATACCTCGACACAATTCGACCAATTTCAAGAAGACAAAGATACACCTGTCTTGGATCTTTGTGCAAAACTGTGAAAAAGTAAGACCACATATTTTAAAGGGCAAATTAAATAGGGAAATAAATTTCTGGCATAGGAGAAGTAAAAAAAAAAAGAATAACGAAGACAGTAGGTTTACTTGTTTGGAGACTTAGAAGAGACATTTTCTCTACATATTATCATCATCATCCATAAATTTTTTAAAAAACTGGCTAATAATAAGAGGATGAAAATTTAGCATGTACCCTAACTGGTAGCATTTTAAGTCTAAAACACTAAGGGCTTAATAACATTAAATTATTTATATTTCAGATCTCTCAACAGGAGATATTATTTGAAGAGATATACCACCTCAATTTTATTCTAAACTATCTTTAGCTTAAGACTATGTGTTAATGGCTTTCTCAAACTTTTTCAAAATCAGAAAAGAAGGAGTACTTCCTAACTCATTCTCTGAGGTCAGTATTATCCTGATACCAAAGCCAAACAAATACATCACAAGAAAACTAAAGACTAATATCTTTTATGAATATAGATGTAAAAATCTTCAATTTATTACTGGCAAACTGAATCCAGTAGCAAGTGAAATTTATCCCAGGAATGCAAGGTCGGTTCAACATATGAAAATCAATCAATATAATCCACTATATTATCAGAATAAAGGAAAAGAAATGTGCAATTATCTCAGTAGACACAGAAAAAGCATTTGAATCAAATCAAATACTCCTTTCACAATTAAAAAAAAAAAGAAGCCTCAACGAATTAGGAATGGAAGGAAACTTTATAGGAATGGAAGGAAATCTGAAAATGGATATCTATGAAAAACCCATAGTTAACATCATTCTTAAAGGTGAAAGACTGAGACTCTTCCTCCTAAGACTAGGGAGAAGATGGATGTCCACTCTCACCTCTTCTATTCAAAATTGTACGGGAGGTTCTAGGCAGGGCATTTAGGCAAGAAAAACAAATAAAAGGCATCCAGATTGGAAAGGAGGAAGGAGGAAGGAAAACTAACTCCATTCAGGTAACACTGTCCTTTGTATAAAAATCCCCTATGGAATCTACAAAAGAAAAGTATTAGAGCAAACTTAGTTTCAACCAAGTTGAAGGATACGAGATCAATATACAAAAATCATTACACCTTATACACCAGCAATAAACAATCTGAAAATGTAATTTAAAAAACAATTCAATTTACAATGCTTCAAGAAGAATAAAGTACTTAAGAACAAACTTCACCAACGAATTTTATGACTTGTTTATTGAAAATTACAAAATATCATTGAAAGAAATTAAGTAAGATACAAATAAATGGAAAGACATCCTGTGTTCATGGATTGGGAGACATAATATTGTTAAGATGACAAAACTCTTCAAACTGACCTACAGATTCAGTGCAATCCCTATCAAAATTCCAACAGTCTTTTTTACAGAAATGGTTAAGGTGATAAAATTCATACAGAATTATAAAAGACAGAACAGCCAAAACAAGAACAAAGTTGGAAGACTCACACTTCCCAATATCAAAACATACAACAAAGCTACAGTAACCAAGACAGTGTGTTATTGGCATAAGGACAGACATATAGACCAGTGACTGGACTGAGAGTCCAGAAATAAACCTAGACATTTGTGTTCAGGTGATTTTTAAAAAGAGTGGCAAGACAACTCAGTAAGGAAACAGCAGTCTTTTCAACAGATGGTGCTAGAACTGAATATCTGTATGCCAAAGAATGAATTTAGATCCTTAATTTACAACATATACAAAAAATAACCCAAAATGGACTAAAGAGCTAAACATAAAAGCTAACACTGTAAAACACTTAGAGGAGGAAAAAGAGGTGAAAATCTGTGTGACCTTGGATTAGGCCATAGTATTTTACATATGACACCAAAAGCATAAGCAGTCAAAGAAAAGATAAATTGAACTTCAGGGGCACCTGGGTGGTTCACTGGGTTGAAGCCTCTGCCTTCAGTTCAGGTCATGACCTCAGGGTCCTGGGATGGAGCCCCCTGCATTGGGCTCTCTGCTCAGCGGAGAGCCTGTGTCTCCCTCTCTCTCTGTCTGCCTCTCTGCCTACTTGGGATCTCTCTCTCTATCAAATAAATAAATAAAATCTTTTAAAAATAAAATAAAATAAATTGAACTTCATCAAAATTAAAAACTTTCATGCATCAAAGGACACTATCAAGAAAGTGAAAAGGTAACCCAAACACTGGATGAAAATACTTGCAAGGGCACCTGGGCGGCTCAGTCGGTTATGCATCTGCCTTCAGCTCAGGTCATGATCCCCTGCTCAGCGGGGAGCCTGCTCCTCCCTCTACCCTTCCATCCTGCTCATGCTTTCTTTCTCTGTCTCAATAAATAAAAATCTTTAAAATTAAAAAAAAAAGAAAATATTTGCAAATCATATATCTGATAAGGGCCTAGTATTCAGAATAAATAAAAACTTACAAGTCAACCAAAAAAAGACAAATAAGCCCCTAAAAATGAGCAAAAGATTTGAAGACAAATTTCTCCAAAGAAGACACACCAAGTGGCCAATAAGCCATGAAAATGCTCAACATCATTAGTCATTAAGGAAATGCAAATCAAAATCACAATGAGCCACCACTTCACATATCCACTAGGACAGTCATCAGAAAAAAAAAAAAAAAAAAAAAAACAAGTGTTGGCAGAGATGTGAAGTTGTACTCTGCCAGTGGGAATATGAAATTTTGTAGCCACTATGAAAAGAGTGGTAGTTCCTCAAAAAGATAAACATAGAATTACCATACGATTCAACAATTCCACTTCTAGGTATATCCCTGAGAGAATTAAAAACATGTTCACTCAAAAACCTGTAAACAAATGTAATAGACAGCAGCATTATTCATATTGACCAAAAAGAAAATAGAATCAAAATGTCCATCAGGTGATAATGTTTTTAAAAAATGTAGTATATCGGGCTGCCTGGGTGGCTCAGTGGGTTAGGCCTCTGCCTTCAGCTCGGGTCATGATCTCGGGATCCTGGGATCGAGTCCCGCATCGGGCTCTCTGCTGGGCAGGGAGCCTGCTTCCTTCCCCCCACCCCCGTCTCTACTTGTGATCTCTCTCTGTCAAATAAATAAAATCTTTAAAAAAAAAAAAATGTTGTATATCCATGGGGCGCCTGGGTGGCTCAGTGGGTTAAAGCCTCTGCCTTCGGCTCAGGTCATGATCTCAGGGTCCTGGGATCGAGCCCCGCATTGGGCTCTCTGCTCAGAAGGGAGCCTGCTTCCCTTCCTCTCTCTCTGCCTGCCTTTCTGCCTACTTGTGATGTCTGTCAAATAGATAAATAAAATCTTAAAAAAAAAAAATGTAGTATATCCATACATGGAATCATTCAGCCCTATAAAGGAATCAAGTACTGTTGAATGCAATGACGTAAATGAAACATGCTAAATGAAAAAAGCCAGACACAAAAAGCCACATATAGTATGATTCTATTTATTTAAAGTGTCCACAATATGCAAATCCATAGATGCCATCTATAGATGTGGCTCATCTACCTTTCTGTTCCTGTTCTTGAGTTAAATGCTCTAGGAAACTTCTGAAACTTAACAGAATAATGGTATGTATGATGAATAACATAACATGCACACTGACTCCCCCAATGAAAATGGCAGTTCTCCTTTGATTTATGATTATTATCTTTTATATACCCAAAGCACAAAGTATACCCTTCCAATGCAATAAGAAGGCCTATATTTGAATCTTAAATTCATACCAAAAGGAATCTGTCCTGAAATTTTCATTAAACTTGTTTTTTTTAAAGTAGCTTTTAAGCACACTTTAACCATAGCATACTTGGGGGTTTTTTTATTTGCTTTGATTTCCTAGCAAAATGTAAAAAATTAAAGCCTTATCTCTGAAAACCTTTAGTAAGTAAAAATATTAGCTCATCAGTTCAATGGCTAGAAAGGAGTTACTGTTATCAGCAGTGCTTTATTTACTCCTATGCTGACCTTCAGGACAGTCAGAAGATGGCTTCTACTAACAATAAGAAATACACAATTTTATACCCTTTCAGAAACAGTAAGCTGGAAACTAGAGAATTCAAAGCATTTCCTCTTTCCTTTGATCTCTACAACCTACATATGCCACTAAATCAACCTCACTGTCAATAAAAATCAGCACACCTGGATTAAAGCAGGGTGCAAAATGGGAAGTAAAACAGAAACCCATTACATTTTTTTTTATTTTATACTGGATAGGAATATCCAGAGGCATATCAAATGCGTAGCAGTGGAAGCAGCCGACCCCACGCGCAGGCAACAACAGTGTGCACAGTCAGAAAATTTTATTTTATTTTGTTCTGTTTTTAGTATATTTTGTCCATTTATGTTTGGTATGGAACTATGAACACATGGTTACCTAATAACCTGAATCTTTGCTTAAGGCAGTGAACTAGTTATTCCTTTTTTTTTTAGCTCAGAGAATTTTCAAACTATAATAATACCACCTAAAAACTTGTTTTTTATTATCGCCATGAACCAGCAATTCTATACAATGTCAGTGATAACATAATTCTCTCTACCAGGGTATGCTACTACTCCCATGATTTCCGCCCACACTTGGTATGCTACTGGTCTTATCAAAATGTTACAAATTCTATGCATATATGTGTATAAATGCTCTAAGGAAATATATATATAGTAGTCTAAAACTTAGGTAGCTTTCAAATTAGTCACTGCAAAGACGATTCTATTGACTTAAAGAAAATGAGATAATATGTCAATAATTCTTTGGCAGAGCATGACTTTTAAAAGGAATTATCAAAAACATGAATCTGTTTAGATGATCAACTTGGCAACTGCTGTGTACAAGGTAAATCTAAATACTGTGAGTATACATCATTTGACCTTTTGTTATTTCTATAATTATCCAGTCAAAAAGAAATTAATAGTAATTTAGACTTTGGTAGAGTAATTCTTGATGAAAACATTAATTAGCAAAGCATTAGTCCAGAACCTTTCCTTGGCCAACTCATTTAGGAAGTAAAATATTTCTAGGGCATTCTAAATATATAAGATATTTAACTATAAATGAAAAGCTTAATCTATATTGTTTAGAATCTGATTCTCCGATTGTTTTACACATATTTAAAATATAAGTTTTTCTAGGAAAATGAGATACGGCCTTATTTGGAAAAAAGTCCTTATTTTGGAAAAAAAAAAATTAGATGTGAGACATACAAAAATACCCTAATAAACACTAAACATTAAACACAATGATGACACCAACACTTACCTAAACCTTCGGATTCAAAAAGGTAAGTCTCATCAACCCCAATGTGCCGGCACCAGTAAAGGAAGTTCGCAGTATTATCTCTAGCAAAGAATGAACCTGAGGCAGCATCTTTCTTACAGGGCACTTTTCTCATTGGAAAAGTCTGAAAAAGATGAAAGACTAATTTCAAAAACTCGTATCAAGGATATTTTCATTAGATATCCATTTTAATATTACTAAATAAATGTTCAGTGTACTGAATCTGACTAAAAAGTACACATTAGGAGGAAATGTATCTTCAAAAATTACTTTAAGTATATTCCAGAAAATGACTCCTAGGAAGTCAAAATTAGCAGCAGGATCAAGCATCTCTAACCTCTTTCTTCTTAAAATGACACAAGAGTCTTAATTAAAACAAAAAATGACAGTCTAATAATTCCAAAGCACATCTCTAAATGTCTCTCCATACACAGTTCAATACAACACAAAATTACTGCCATGTTAAAGGTTAATGGAACACTCATTTTTGCTTACTTCCTTATTTGCAGATTCATAAATATGGTTCTGAGTTTCTTGAGGAGACTGTCAAATAACGAAGTAGTAGCCCATTCTTAATTCAAGTCTTTGAAAATTAACAGTCTAAGTTATATAGAATCCTAATTTTTTAACTATCTGGACCAAGAATAGTTAGATAATCCTGCTGAGACAGGGGTTTTAGTTCTGTTTTAAGTTTTTACTTGAAAAAGCAATTTATGCCTAAGATTTTTTTGCAGTAGGCGCAATGGAGCGTAAGTCTGTCTCCCACCTCTACCACTCAGTTCCTCTCTCTTCCTAGAGATAACCACTAATACCAGTTCCTTATATACCCTTCCTGTTGTATTTTCCAGAATTAAAATGGCCTTGTGAGTTCTTCTAATTGTTAACTGAAATCTTCTCACTTACATGTTAGTGGGCATCTCTACACACAAGGGTACACATATCTGTACATACAGAATGCTACACAAACACGCTAGTCTGCAATCTGATCTGTATGTGTATATGTGCATACACACTTAACAAAAGGCTGCAGGCATCTTTTGGGGTGAAAAATAACAGATTAAAATAGTAATTTCTAATGAATAGACAAGCATCCCACTCAGTTTAGGTATCATAATTAATTTTTAACAACTTCTTTATTGATGAGCATTTATGTTGTTCTTAAATTTTTCTGCACAATCACTTTTGTGAATTTGTAGTTATTTTCTTAGAATAAATCCCTGGGAGAATTATGTTACGTATCAAAAGATATACTTTACTTTCAATGTGATATATATCACCCACTGCCCCCCAGAAAGATGATAGCAATTTATGTTTCTACTAACCCTATGTGAGTATCCAGATGCCACACTCACAGACCCCAGATCTCATAGGTGACCCACGTTCAATAAAAAGAAAGGAAACCTTATCTAGTTCAAATCATGATTTCATGGTCAATGGAGGAACACTGCCTAAAAAAAATTATTATTCATTCAATCAAATTATAGAATTTACCACCAAGACAAAATATGGGGAATATAAAGATGGTGATGATAATGGTAATAATAATAGTAGTAAAAATAATAACTGTGTCCCAGGAACCATCACAAGCTCTTTTCTCATTTAACTCTCAAAACAAGTGAGAATATGAGTATTGTTCTCAAGGAGATATAACTACTTACTGGATATTTACTTACACTAGGCACTAACCTAAATACCATTTATACATTACTTCATTTAATTTCACTAAATCCTTGCAAATAAATCTGACAACATAAATATTAACTCACCCATTTTGCAAGATTAGATAAATTACCTAAGGTCTTATACATAGTTGGGTAGAAGTTTGCAACTTTTCAGATATGATAAGAAATGTACAAAAACAAATTAATATGTACCAAAGTATAAAATCACTGATTGTCAGGGCACCTGGGCAGCACTGTTGGTTAAGTGTCTGTCTCTTGGTTTGAGCTCAGGTCATGATCTTGCTCGTGGTCATGAGATGGAGCCCCACGTTGGGCTCTGGGCTCAATGTTGAATCTGCTTCAGATACTCACTCTCTCCCTCTGCCCCTCCCCCTGCTTGCTCTCTCAGATGGACAGATAGATAGATGATAGACAGATAGATAAAATCACCTCCCGTCAAACATGTTCTTACCCTGGGTTCTCCAGACTCGAAAGTTTTCACCATGCTTTGAAGAACATCAATCAGTTGGCATAATAGTACTCCATTATCAAGTTCTTCCAATAATCTTTCTGCCTTAACTTCAATACCTAAAAACATATTTCAAAGTCAAGGTTCTACTAGAAACAGTAAATTCAAACAATATGGTTAAAATTTAATTAAATGTAATTAGATTATAGCTGAAACACAGGACAAATAGTAGATCATACTCCAAGTATTCATTCTTAGAAGTTATAGTTAAAACAGATAATGTGAAATTAAGTGAAAGACAACAGAAACAAAAATATCTGTGATGGAGAAGAAAAAATAAAATGACATTTTACTTCATTTCTTAAAAACCAGAATATTTACTGCACATTACTACTGCTTGCACAAGAAAAAGATTTTCCAAAAATAACATGGCTTTTGTTGTGATTTTAAAATTAAAGATAATAGCATAACAAATGCCTAGGGAATACCAGACTTTTTGCCTCTAAAATCCCTTCTTTAGAACAATTATTATTACATAATAAGCTTTTAAAAAACTATCCAAATCATCAAACTGATATGAGATAATTAGTTGTATAGTGTTTTTAATTATCCTGGGAAGGCCACAGATGAAATTCTGTATTTAAAAGAGAGCGTGTGGGGTGCCTGGGTGGCTCCTCGAGTTAAGCCTCTGCCTTCGGCTCAGGTCATGATCTCAGGGTTCTGGGATCGAGCCCTGCATTGGGCTCTCTGCTCAGCAGGTAGCCTGCTTCCTCTTCTCTCTCTGCCTGCCTCTCTGCCTACTTCTGATCTCTCTCTCTGTGTCATACATATAAATAAAAATCTAAATTTAAAAAAAGTGTTTTTCTGGGAGATAGTTCAGAGCACTCCTAGTCTAACGGATAAAGAAATATGAAGCCAGATATTCTCCAAGCTGACACTTCCTCCTAGGTTTCACATGCCTTTGCCCCTCAATCCCTCAGAAGTAGCAATCATTTTAATTACAATATATATTCCCCTCAGAATCTCATGCTTATATGAGATGGGGGGAGCACATCAGTAATAGAGATCCCAAATCAGACCTATAAATTAAAAAAAAAAAAAAAAAAGGTTTCAACATTAGCAGTGAAAATGTTTATTATTCAAAGATTACTATATACCTTTTCTATTAAGCCTCAACCTTTCTTACTATCCAAGCCCTAAGGTTCAGGGTGAACTGAAATATCTCCCCAACAGGAATGTAAGCTTGCAAGAACAAGCATATCAAATATTCCATTCACTAGAGTATCCTCAGCCTCTAGAACAATCACTCCTTCACAAAGAGTAAGATTCTCAATAAATATTTAGTAAATAAAAAACTACAATTTTGAGTATCTTTTCAAGCCTTACCTAATAAACCAGAGAGCCAGATTGACAGATCTTCTTGCATGGGCAACAGGGTGGCTTCATGCCTCACAGCTATCCACTCATCATACTGACAAACGTCAGCCAAACCTGGCCCATGTCTGGGGGTCAGAGGACTCCGTGGACTTAGAGGCAGGTCTTCTCCAAACCATACCTGAAGAAAACACCAACCAAATGGATGCAACCTTTTTAAAAGTCAGTGCAACCCACACTTATATTTAAATGATGAATTATAGACCATACATCATATGCACATGTATAAAACTGTGGCAGTTCACAGAAAGGTTATAAACTAGAAGCAAACTATTAATCCAGAAACTCGAGACATTTTCAATATTCAACACTGTGGTAAATATAAATCAATCCTTAATCAATGAATGGATTCTACTATCGAACTACAGGATAAAAGTCAACAAATAATATGTTTCCTTCACTTGTTAGCTAAGTTTAATAAATTACTTGAACCACAGCTTCAGCCTCTCAGCTATAGAATCAGTCAATGGTACCTGCCTTACAAGATACATCTTTGTAGCATCTAGCATTGGGGCGAACAACATTTGTTATACAACGGATAAATGAATGAATAAATGCATAAGTGGCATTTTATAACTTCTGGTCATAATAACAGTGTTATCTTAAAAAAATTCTAAATAATCTGGTACGTCACCTGATTTTTGCAAGGCCCACAATCTAAGAATGGTTTTTACATGTTGTTATCTACGTACCTATGTAATAGCCTCAATTTTGCCTACTTACTCACAAAGCCAAGAATATTTACTACCTGGCCAATCCCTGGTTAAGAATAAAAATTGACCTAAACATAATACCAAACCAACACTTGCAAAATTTTGAAATACAATTAGAAGTGCTTTAGTGTAAGATTATTTAGAGAAAAGACTTCAGTTTATCAATTCAGGAAGGGGTATTTGAGCCCAAGTGAAGTGATGAGGGATCCTCACTGGAGGGAAGCTTGAAATGGAGGACCAGAACTTGAGTGAGATGAGAGTGTATCCACACATGGGGACAGCCTTGTGCACAATATCAGACCCTGAGTAGGATGAGGAGGGCATCCCCAGGAAGATGGGGGAACATCCCAGTGCAGGGTGTCAGAGCCCAAGTGAGCTGAGAAAGACATTAACTCAGGGAGTGGGTGGCAGCAACAATAGGAGATTGTTATATCAAATGGAAGCCAAGTTTCTCACAAGCCATAAGAGGTCAACTCTTTTGGAATAAGAGAAAACTAGAATGAATCCTGTGGTGACTGGAATATTTTTTACCAGAAAGCAAAGAAGGCTCAAAAAATGATAGGTCAGCAAGAAGGGACTTCTTCTACTGGCTAAATCAAGAGCAACTTGAGCATTACACACTGAACAAAATAGAAAACTATCAGTTCATATAGATATAAATATATGAATAAACTGGGATTTTGATGAGGAATGAGATTTTTATATGGTTTCAAAGTATTTCCCCACAAAATACTTTCACAAAGAGAAGAAAGAGTAATTTTACAGTAGAAAAACCTAACAGTCGGCAACTTAAGCAAGTGACAAAGGTAAACACAATCAATAATGGGACAAATAGAAATCACATTCTACCTGAAAGGATGCAGTGAGAAAACACAGTATCCCTCTCTGATATTCCTGCCAAATATGCATAACCTGAATCTAATCATGAGAATACAACAGACAAATCCAAACTGAGAGACATCCCACAAAATAAATGGTCTCTAATATTCAAAAGTGTCAAGGTCATTAAAGAAAGCAAAGAGGGGCGCCTGGGTGGCTCAGTGGGTTAAAGCCTCTGCCTTTGATTCAGGTCATGATCCCGGGTCCTGGGATCGAGCCCCGCATCGGGATCTCTGCTCAGTGCAGAGCCTGCTTCTCTCTCTCTCTCTCTCTCTCTCTCTGCCTGCCTCTCTGCCTACTTGTGTTCTCTGTCAAATAAATAAATAAAATCTTAAAAAAAAAAAAAAGAAAGCAAAGATACTGTTCTAGACAGATTAAGGGACATGACATTAGGTGGCAATACTGTACCAACGTTAATATCCTGGTTCCAATTATTTCATTGCTGTTGTGTAGGATGATGTCCTTATTTGTGAGAAATACACACTAAAATATTGAGAGGTAATGGGGCATTAGACTGGCAACTTATTCTCAAATGGTTTAGCAAACAAGTATCTCTGTTCTACACTTAACAGCCACTTTGTAGGTTTGTGATTACTTTAAAATAAAGGTTTTTTTAATTTTAAAAAAGGAGGTACGAGTATAGTTAATACCAAGTGCATCTATTCCCTTCTTGATTTTTAAATGTAGATCATTTTCCCTCTAAAATATATTAAACTTATTGAAGCATATTTAAGGCAAGTCTTACTACACGAAATAAAAATCCATAACACCATTGTTAATCCAGACAAACTTTGGAGGAATAAAAGAAAAAAAAGAGTTGTTTCCAAGTTCCTATGATGAGAAGCAAATCAAAAAACATGAATACATACCACAAGAGGGAAGCAGAAGTAGCGAAACTCAATAAAAATATCAAAAGATTAAAAATAAATAACTTATTTGAGGGCCATTATTTTAGGAACTAAGAGTAGAGATTAGGAAATGAAATCCTAAATATATAAAGATATAAAAAGTTTTAGGAAAAAGACAAGATGTCTTTTTTATTTATTTCTCTGAATTCTCTTAAAATTATTTCAAAGGCAGTATAGCAAAGATTTACTATTTAAAACTTCCTTTCATAAGCATGTCTTATTTCTGTTAGCACATGGTATTCAGTTAAATATTTGTTAAATAATTGAGGGCATTAGCAAATGACTCTGCACCATCAAAATCAAGATGTATCTTACAGTTGAAGATATTTTATAGCAAATAGAATGTTATTTGTCTTTTAACAATTTGGCTGAGCTGAAAAAAGGCAGAGCAGTTGCAAATGTTTGTCAAGGAAGGATGTGATACAGTTAGAAGGGTGGTTTTGGAAAAAATTTTTTGTGAAAATGAAGAAGCTAACATTAATAGAAGCCATTCTAATTTCTTGCCACATTAGGGATAAGAGTACTTGGATTCTCCTATTCTTGCCAAAAAAAGACTATAATAACCTGGGCTAGTCAATATCATATTCATGTTGTTAAAATTTAGATGTTAATAGCAAAAACTGTATGTATAAATGTTGTCCTCAAACATGTGAAAGCCGTCATATTGCAAAGATTGTTAATCCACAGGCAATCTGTAGATGAACTTGAGTACGTACAAAAACTTAACTTACAATTAGGCAAACTTTTATGCTTATACACAAATGGGCCTTTTCTCAGTTCATAGCCTTTTGTCAGATTCTCAAAGGGGACTATGTATGACCCAAAAGAGATCAGGAACAATTGTTCATTGATTTTTTTTAGACTGTATGTTTATTTACTAATCAGAATGAATGATATTAAAAAAAGGGAGCAAGGAAGATCTTAACGTATTAAATTAACAAGAAATCAGCTGATAAGCTATCTACTGAGTGTCTCCTCTCTACGAGGCACTTATGAATATATACACTACAGTCTAATACAATTAGCAAAGAAAGAGATGAAAATCCTACAAAGTTTTCACACTCATCAGAGAGAGAAGCAAAAACATCCATGACCAGATGTCAAGCATACTCTTAGAAAAGAATTAATAAAGATGAATCTACAGACTCTAGATCAGAGAAGGTTTCATGGAACTATAAAACAAAACTATAAAGAAAAATCACCAAGCTAAGAAAATATTAATGGCATTAGAGTAGAATGAGAAAAACATGGTCAATACAGCAATTATAAAAAGCACCCAATAAAGAATCAAGAAAATATAATTAACATGAAACTGATGACGTTTCTGAGACTTAGATAAAAAGAGAACAAATCGAAATAATTGAATAAAAAATAGTTTTAAGTAATAAAGGAGTTTTGAGCATACTCAATGGGGATTTGAGAGGACCCAAAGAGCAAGCATAAGACCTTTTGGGAGACTGCCATGGACTCCCAAGTCCCAAAAGGGAAAGAATATAATAGAACTCTTTATTAATACAGCTGCATAGCACACATAGGAGGGAGTATAAGCAGGATCATATTCAGAATTGTTGTTAACATTCGATAAATAAATCATCTTTAATCTTCACCACTGTCATCTTGATAAGCATTCTTTCAAAAGAAAAAGAAAGGAAGGAAGGAAGAGTTTCATGACATAGGTATAATGTCCAGTTTTATATGCGGAGAGTTTGGTTATACCAATGATACAATCAAACTGCTGAAGTGTCTACTATGCAACATACATTCTAGTAGGCACTTTGCTCATGTTCTCTCATCGATTCCATTGATTTCCTGAACATCGACCTCACCTTGGAGCTGAGGATGCAGAGGTAAAATAAACTTTCGGAATCTTACAGAGTTGGCAGAACCAGAACCAGAAATGATTGATTCTGAAGTTCTCACTTCACAAGGCAAATTTTATTATCAGCTGCTTGCATCTTTATAGGTAGAAGTTCAGTGTGATTTTTATCTTTAAATTAAGATTCAAGCATATTCTAATTATATAAAAAAAAACTTTTAAAAGAATATAAGAGTAATATAGCAAATACCAATTCTGGAAATCATTCAAATATAAGATTATTCTGGTTTGTCTATCTCCATCTTGCTTCCCCTCACCCAAAACAAATAAACAAGCAAAAAAAACTTTAAATTTTAAGTTTTAACGTCTGGTCATTTATAGGCATTACAGGGCACAGGCATAATTATCTAAAATAATTTATAATTGTCTTCATTGAGAACTCTTTTAATTACAAATACATACTAAATTGTAAGGAGAGGAAAATTATAAAATGTTCCAATTCTCTTCCCAGGGTAGTAGGGTGGACACACCAATTCTAAGGAATTTTTGACTTTTTAAAAAATTTTATAAACATATAATGTATTATTTGCTTCAGGGGTACAGGTCTGTGAATCATCAGTCTTACACAATTCACAGCACTCACCATAGCACATACTCTCCCCAATGTCCATAACCCAGCCACCCTATACCTAGCCCCACACTCCCCAGCAATCCTCAGTTTGTTTCCTGAGATTAAGGAATTTTTGACTCTTACAAATAATTTGTATAAGTGAAAGCTTAAAATCTTTTCAGAACTAGAAAGTTAAAATACAGTCATTTTTGTTATTAAAATTTCATGCTTAAAAGAACTAGTACAGTAAAAACATTGTGGGATAATTTTAGTATTCTAATTATTATAATTTTATATAACCTCACATAATTATTATCTCATAATTTAAATACATATTTTCCCAAGAAAAACACTTACTTGAGTTGCAGGTTGCATGGTCATCTATATTGAAATGAAATTGCTTTTCTGAAAAGAGAACAAAACATTAATATGCAAAAATTGGTAGCTTTCCTACTCCACAACACCCAAATTTTAAGGAATCTGCTTTAGTCTCCTATTTGACTGAAAACTTAAAACTTTTTCTTCTATTTAGAACAGTGTGACTGTAGAAGAAATCAATAATCACTCCTAGCTTCTCACTTATGAAAGTACTCCTCATTTAAAAGAGGAAAACCTGAAACAGTTTCTGGGCTAATATCAAGGTAATTCTGGAAACATCTGGCTAGAAAAATAAAACTGACAATAAAACTTAACACATATAAAAGTCTCCCCCAAATTTCCCCTGTAAACATAAACACCGACAGCACAACAACTGATATGGAAGTCAAGTATCTCTCATCTGATTTTTATAAAGAGATCATATAAATTCATCTGGACTTTGCAGAAATTCACAAGCTTAGCCATTAGCCTCTTCTGCCAGACAACAAGGTAGTAAAGACAAATATCAACTTTAACTATAAAACAATACTCAATGCCTTCCCATAACAACTTTTCATAAGCTGTTTTCTACATAAAATACTAAAGACAAAAAAAAAGAAACTGCAATTTTAACTCCAAAGTACTATTTTCAAAATCTATTGAAAAAAAAATACAATTTTAATTAATTAGGTTAGTACAATTATTTAATGTAATTTTAGAGGGAAAAAAGGTGAAGAGCTTAAAAACACTCAGAATAAAAGAGACTATATAAAAACTAGGATTTTTTATTGCTTATGGCAGCATAATATACTAGTCTATTTTTTATTATAAACTACCATTAAAACATTATAAAAAAAATTAAAATGGTCTATAATGCTGTCAATTTCCAAGAAAAAGTTACTTTCTCCTCTAAGTTTTGCCAAACATACCTCATGCACAGTATCAACTACACATACAACTTTCCTTTCAGGAACATTTCTTCTGGTACCAAAGTTGAACTTGAGCTAAATCTAACTGAAAAGTCTAATATCACATCACGTTTTCTTTGCGGGAAGGCAAAGGACAGCAGAATGTCCTTTTTGATGTCATTTTTCCTTCTCTCTACCATAGCAAAAGGCCAAAGTACAATTGAGCATTACTAATGAGCTTGTTATGCTTCCCACGAGCTAATTCAGTGGGGAATACATTTTCCTTTGGCATAAATAATTCTTTGTCCTCAACAAAGATCCACAGTAAGAAGCTTCCGAGACTATTTTTTAAAAATGCAGCTAAGAAGCTGCTCCCATTAAAATAAGGAGTCCCACATAATCAGACAAGAGCTTTAACAGTTGGAACTGCCAACCCAAAACAAAAGAAGGCCTAAATTATAAGGCGTGTGCAAATCAAGAACAGTGACACATTCACAAAGAAGCTATTGCAAAAATGTTTCGTAGTTGCACTTTTTATGGAAAATCCAACAAAATTGGTTTTACGAAAGAAATGAAGAATTTGTGCACAACCTTCAGTCACTTGAGCTTTAGCAGAAGAATCTTTTTTATACATATTTTTCAAAGCATTCTACTTGTGTAATACAAAGAACTCCTCTTAGGATGACAAAAATATAACCATCTATATTACCTTTAAAAAGAAATTTTCTAATAAATTGTACTCAGATAGGCAATAATGTAACTTCATATATGAAAAACTATCGCATATATAAATACATGCTTTTATTGGAAAACTTCTATAAACTGATAAGACTGTATCAGTGAATCAATTAATTAATGAGTACTCATCATGTTCCAGATCCTGAGAGCCAGTTATTGATACTTTCTAGTCATTTACTATTCTTTTTCTAAACCATTTTTGTGTCCTCAGGTATTTCATCCCAAGAGTAGCATCTATTCTACAGTTACCCCATCCCGAGTCTGCACCACAATCACAATTCTTACCTCCCACTCTTTTTGTTACTACCTATTTTCCTCTTTTCTATCTTTCCCTAAAAGTCTCAGTCTCTAATTTTTCTCACATAAACCAAATATGATGAATCAGCAACACTTCATTTTTGGAGCTGCATTTTAATCAGCAAATTATTGCCTTTATTTTATTTTGCTTTTGTCTTTCTCTCTTTTGGGAGGAACCTATTCAATTCTTTGACAACTTGAGGAAGTCTTTTCCCTTAGATTTGGGCAAGAAGATCTCTGATTTGACCAAACTATACTGTAACCCTGCTGGGAATCATTCACAAGACCAGGATTAGAGATCTTAAAGGAAGAGAACTAAACTTTTACAGTCTGAGGAAATCAGAAACGCAAAAGGCACTCACTCATCCACCTGAAACCTGAACAGAATTTGGACCTAACCCACTCATCTTAGAAACAGGTTCAGTCATGAGGTCCTCAAGCTCATTTATGGTTAGCCTCTTCATACCAATTTAACTTAAAATCATGATGGCAGAAAGTGCCAACCTGTTGAACAGATCCTTCTTCCCACAACTGTAGGCTTTGAAACTGAGTACATTTTTATCCCCCACCCACATTATAAGATATGACGGGAGAGCCTAAGGTGGAATAGTACATTCCTGGTACACATGGGGGAGGGGAGGGTTTGGGAAAAAATGACAAAAAAGCAAAGAAACAAGGTAAGTTTTTTCAGGAAAAAAATGACATTAACTGCCATCATACCACATTTAGCACTCAGACACCAGATTATTGCCAAAATACATAAACTTCAGGGATACGATAAATGCCAAAATTGGGATAGTGGGATAATGCTTACTGTTGAGGAGTGGGAGAAAGATGAGACCGGGAAGAAATGCCCAGAAGCCTTTCAACTGCACTGGTAAGATTTTATTTCAAGTTAAATGGTGAGAACACAGGTGTTATTACACTAGTCTGTATGCCTTTCTGTATGTCAAAAACCATTTCATCATTTTTTAATGCTTCATTTAGAAAAATAACTGTAGAAGACATCTGGATTTTTTTCGGGGTGGGGGGGGACTTTCTTAGCTTTAAAGTTTGGGTTAAATATTTCCTAATTGCCTAATAGGGAAAATAGAAATGCTATAGTCATACCAAAGATATTTCATTTTTTAAAATATGTACTAAAATAACACATCATAAAAGCACCAGCTCTGGTAGTAGAAAGTAGCAGACACAGCTGGTTTGAATTCCAGGTCCAGCACATTAGCTATATGACCTTGGGGTGCTTAACTTTTCTGATCCTCAGTGTTCTCATCTGTATAATGGGATACCACCACCTCCTCCACCTGGTTATTATAACAATTAAATGAGATGACACACATGAAGTACCTGACACATAACTACCACTTAACAAATGAGTTGATATGATTAATATTTTGACGAGACATGATTGTAGTTCATTTAATATAACTTATCAAATTAAAAAGAGATAAGGCCAGTAATACCTAGAAATCATTAAACATAATATGGAAAGCTTTTTTTTACTAATAAATAAATGTAGTTATAAGTGAAAGCAAAAGCTTTAAAATAGCCATGTCATCATGGGGAGGATACTCAGATATGAATTTGTGACTCACAGTTCTCTTTGCTAGAATACAAGTCTTCAGGAACTTATCTAACATCAGCCCTTTGCTCCATTCAGTCTGTCTCCTCGCTGTCCTCCCTCAGTTTGTTTTTTTTTTAAAGATTTTATTTATTTGTTAGAGAGAGAGAGAGAGAGAGCACGTGGGAGCAGAGGCAGACAGAGTGTCAGGCGGAGGCTGGGGGCACATCGGGCTCCTTGCTTGGCAGGGAGCCCGATGTGGGACTTGATCCCAGGACACTGGGATCATGACCTGAGCCGAAGGCAGCTGCTTAACCAACTGAGCCACCCAGGTGTTCCCCCCCACCTCAGTTTTGTTCACTTCTGTGGCTACATCACTATTCAGTCTGTATGCTTTTCCATGGGGTGAACACTCATGCATTAATTCAACAAGCATTTACTCTTCCTCTTTCATGAACTAGGACCACAACCAAGAGACACAGTAATGAACGTAACAGACATGTGACTGCTTTTATGGAACTAATACACCAGTCGGGAAATTTTTAAAAAGCAACCACACAAATGAATACACAGAGTTAAATCTTGATCATTTTACTTTGAAGGAAAGAATGGGGAAGGAAACAACAGGGCCTACCTTAGACTTAGATCGAATGCTTAAAAATGGTTTAGCTGAAGGGAAAACATGAATTTGAAGAATGGTAGGAGTTAGGGAATGAGAGGAAGAGTTCTAAGTACAGAGAATTATTTTTGCGAAGACTCTGAGGAGAGAACGTGGCATATTCCTAGAACCGAAAGAAGCAGGCATGGCTGCAGCAAGGGCAATGTGTGGCTTGGGAGGGGACTGAAAAGTTGGGCAGCAGCCCCATCCCACTAGGCCTCCTGAAGAAATTAGATTTTATTCTAGGTGCAGTGAGAAGCCATGGGAGAGCTTTAACCAAGGGAGAGACAATCTAATTCCGAGTTTCAAAAGAGCTCTTTGAGGGGAAGAGTGGAAGACGGCAGTGAAATAGTGATGGGTTTAACAGAGAAAGGGGGAAAGAAACAGAAAGGGGAGTGGCTAGAGATGTGGGGAAAAGAACCAGGGGAAACAATGAAAGAAGGAGACATGGAGAGGGTAGAAACAGTGAGACCATATAGGAAATGGGAGCACACAGGTAAAGAGATGGAGAGGAGCCTGGCAGAGGAAGAGTTAGGAAATCTGCAGGACTACAGTAGTTCGGTGACAAACAGTAAGTGAACTAGAACAGCAACATTATCTCCACTTTAGAGAAGTGGATGGAGTTGATATCCACTTTAGTCAGAACCAAGACCTGATAATGGTTAGAGAGAGGGGTGGAAGGGAGGGATGTAAGGGCAGAATGAAATGTCAAAAGTGACTCCCAGGTTTCTGGCTTAAGCAACTGAGCAAATACATAGTGGGAGCATTTATTGAGGTGAGGATGATAAGAGTGTGAACAAATCGAGGCAGGGAACACAATACAGACAGGTCAAAAGCACTGTGTTTTGATCATGTTTAATTTGAGAAGACTTTAAAGACATTCTAG